GAAGGTGGTTTATTCAATTTGTGACCCTTTACGAATTCTCTGAACAAAAGAAAAAAATGACAACGAAGTTGAAAGTGTTCGGATAGTTTGTGTATAATAAGGACTACTTTTTCCAGGTGAAATGCGAATTGGTGGAGTTGCCTTGTATAATGTATTTGGTTAAAGGAGGAAATGGTGGCCTTCGCATAATAAAATGAAATACGAGAAACTGAAACAATAGGAATGTGCTGCTGATATGAATTTTTCAACAAAACAAATACATAATGGCCAGCTCCTATTATGTATCAAAAAAAAGGTGAAGGTTCAATGCTCAATTTACAATCGACTTTTAAATGTTGCGGAACAAATTCCCAACAACCGGAAGCTAATTCGGGTTGAAAGCGCAGAGTTTTAAAAAATAGCCTGTTGTGAACAATCTCTAGTATAAAATTAAGAGAGTTTGCATAAAACCTTGTTGTGGTCACTACTGCAAAAAAAAAACGCAAACGAAATTTGCGTTTTTTTCTTCAGCTCCTCAATCCGCTTTTTATGCTGCTCTGTTCAAACGATTTCAAAAGCTTTACGAAAATGTGGAGAACGTTCAGCCAAAATGAATAAAATAAACAGATTTCACGTCATTGTTTGACAAAAAAAAATTGGGCTGTTGAGCTCTTGGAGCACCTCATTGAACAGTATAAACACAATCAGGCATTACTTCTTATTGGCTTCAATTTCGTAGCAAGAGGTGGCGGCAGACAAAATATTATATTCATGTATACAATTTTTCTTTTGTAGATTCTCGGACAATTGTGTGTAAAAAAAAAAGAGAAGACGAAGATTTGTACAGCAGCCGAGTGTTTGGTGAGAAAAAAAAAATGGCTGGAATGTTTAAAAGCAAGTCAAACGACTCATTATCAGTTGGCGTATCGCAAAACCAAATTGATGACGTATACTGATTTTGAACATGGTTATAATTGTAGCCAATTCTTCTAAAAAAGCAAAACAAGAAAAGATAGGTAAAATATGCATATTACATTGATTGCATATTTTGAACGGGTCAGCATGTATCATTACTATTAAGGACTAAGATATTAAGCTGACACTTGAAGAATCGTGGACAGTGACAAATTGTTTCAAAAAATTATACTTCATAATAGGCTTCATTTTGGGGTCCTATATTTATATTCCCACCTTATAGTGGAATATTACAAAAAACTAAAAAATGGAAACCGATCCTTAAGACCTAATAATTGAATCTGAAAAACCTTTTTTAATCATAAAATCAAGAATTGTTGAAATGTGCATTTTTTGAGTATCCATAAATCATGAGCTACAGTGACCTCAAAATTAGCATATAGATGCAGAAAGTCTACCAAGATGAATGAGAAACACTAAAAATGGAAGAAGAATTGGGTGTAAAGGCTATTGTTGACAGGATGGCTCCGACATAACGTACTACCCTAATTTACGCACCCTCCCCCCACGTAGACTTATGAGGACATTATTTTTCAGCGCCACTCAGCGCATGAGGGGGGTATATAGTAAGCTTATACATAACTGAACATGGAAGTGCAATATTTATAGGTATTGTAAGCGTCTAGATTCAAATTTATAGCAATGTTATTCGATGTAAGTCTATTGCGGGAATTTTTTTCCAGACGCATATTTTGAAAATGCAATTTATTTCCCAATAAGAAGCAAGCACATAATTAAATCGACATGTTAACTGAAAACCGTAACGGCAATCAAATGGGTTCTGAAATTAAACCAATCTTCAGCACGTTAAGTTCATTCAGCCCAACCATCCGGCAAGAAAATTTACAAACAAAAAATGTTTTGAAGTGGCTAATGGTCAGTGTGAAACTGACGGCTCTGTTTTTTGCAGCAGCAGCATATTATATATTTCACATCGCATAAAAGAACTAAAAAAATGCGCGGACAAAAAACACTACCGAGTTTTACTTTCCCATGGGGGCGTAACGAGAAGAAATTGCCAATTTCCTTTATAGCCTATGATATAAAAGGGAGAAACTAGTGTGGAATAATGTGCAGTCGTGTTTGATCAGAGTAAATTGAATATCCGGTGCAGATTGAACGACATCTGGTGAGAAAATACAAATCATAATGGCATCGTAAACCAGGCAGGCACATAGACACACGTGTGTTCCATATGAGATAATTTCGTAGTAAATGGTATTGGAACAATGTGATAACCACTCAACGCAAAAAAATAGAAAGACACATGAGCAAAAACAAAATTTCATTAAACAAATTTAATGGCACTCTTGGAGGGAATTGAACACTTCTTCTTTTTTTTCACTATTCTCATGGTCGTCTTTTTTTTTGTTTGTTTCAAGATTATCAGAAATACATTGCAAATAACAGCAATTAAATCGTCATTTTCGTGCGCACAAACAATCGAGTGAAATAATTTAAGTTTCTTGTTTTCAATTCTGAAAAATACACATAATGATCGAAAAACGTTCGGGCATTTTCAATGTCGGAGAAATCGCCGAGAATGGAAATCAGCAAAAATCATTGCTCTATAGGCTAAGTCTGCCAAATGGATGCGATAAAACGCTACAGTTAAAATTCCTATTACAAATTACCCATCATTTTTACGTGTTAGTATATTTCAACATCTTCATAAAAATTTCTTAAAATGTATTACTACGTAGAATATACTTTTAAGATGATTTTAATTATTTTGGTGGTTTAAGTAAACTTAGAAATGATGCGTATTCTGTTCTCTAATATCAAAAAATAAATTATAAAGATGAGCTTTAACGGATATTTGAAATATTCTTAATCAGATTATATTATATTTCACATAATCTAAGGTATAAGAATTTAATTATAATTCTTGATTTTTGATTCATGAGACAATAATGCTGCTTCAAAAAAAGTTAGAGCGCTCTAAATATTGATCTAGTTGGAAGTAATTAAATCAATAGATAAGATTATATAGCCCAATTTTTAAAATGGTTAACTGCAATTTTTGTAGCATCGTGATGTCGTATAGCTATATCTAATGCTATAAGTGGAATTTTTTGCAGTCGTATGATATAAAAATGATGTAAAACAATAACTATTCCATATGCATCAAAATGATGAATGTAAAAAAATGACAAATAATCCCCATAAAAATGCACTTCAATTTATCAAAAAATGTATATAGATTTTTAAAGATTTTCCTAGTATGGCTCAAATAATCCAACAAAATTCAACAATTCCTTTTTAATTTAAACATAAAAACGAAATATAGAAGAAAGGTGGGGGTTGGAGCAGTGACATCATAAAGAATCAGTGGATTTCAATTGGCCCATTCGAAAATTGCAATGTTGAACAGCATTGTGATTGTTTTAAAACAAATAATGTACTAAATTAATGTTTGAAGTGTTTAATTTAAAACGAAACATGTTGTGAGAGGAGTCATTGGGTAGTAAAGAGATCTAATGGCCAATGATAATGTGATGGGGAGATTTTGCATAAAGTTAACCAATGCTGCTGTATTATGGCGCTTTTATTATTTATGGTAGGCCATTTTTTTGAATACTAATCGGGACAAACAAAATATGTTGTTTTGATAGGAAGCAACTGCACAAAACAAAAATTCAGTGGGTTTCACCAAGCAACACAAAAATGAAAACTGTAGTTGCATTTGTTAGCTTGTTTGCACAATTATGATTTTGGTATTGAATTTTTTTATGATTGCAAATCAAGATTTTACAATGTTGAAAATTGAATGGGAACACCTATTTGAAAAATTTTCGTTTATTTCTAATATATCCTCAGTCCAATACTCGAATTTCTGCACAAATTACATTTTCCCATAACTTGAAGCATAAACAAAGCTATTGGCAGAGCTTATATTGTTTTACCCTTTTCAAATAATTCCTTTTTTCTTGAAATTGTTTTCAAGCTTTCTTTTACTGAAAAATCGAAATTTAAATTTTCAGAGAGAGAGAGTTTTTTTTTAAAAGCCCTATTTTCAAAAGATCCCTTTCAAAATGCTTTCTAATTTAATTCAAAGAAATTGTTTGGAGATTTCAAATTCATGAAAAACTGTTAAATTCGAAATCAGGTTTCCAAAAAACTTTAAATTCAGATTCAATACTCTATCCTATAAATGAAACATAATTTATAACAGCTTAAAAAGGAACTTCCTTTTTCGATGAATATCAGCTGCGATATATACAGAAAACTGGAATACTTTATAATCAAAGGGTATATGCGATATATATTATAATTACGTTATAATTTTTGTATCTTTCCACATCATGCGGCGGCTGTGCAAATCGTTTAAACCGCAATTTTGCTGACAGGACAAACCATGACTCATAAAAAGGGTTTTCACCTATAAAAGCAGTAATGATTGGCCATTGTTATCAATTCACTCAAAAAAAATCGGTATTCACTATTTCCTTTGAAGAAGGTAAAACATTATTTTGAATTTCTCATTTTGTTCGCTGGAGCACACTTGCTCAATCTAGCGAAACCATAATGGTTTATTAAACCTTTATACGAGTTTTCGCAAAATTTTTACATTTTTCATTCGTTTTCTATTTTGCCGATTTAAAAAAAGAAAAAATAGGCTGAAAAGTGCATCCTCCTCGTCACACATTTTCAATTTTAAATGAATAACCCGCCTCTCTCGCACTCAAATTTTTTCCAGTTGTTGTTGGTACTGTTTGGACAGTTCGCACTCTAACAATTTTCCGTCTCTTCAACGACATCGTTGGCTTTGTGTCTTGGCACACATATGAATATTTGCTCGATATTGGTGCAAACTTATCCATTCGTCATATTTATTCTTGTCGTCTGAATCGTTTTCATCTGTCATGCGAATAATTTTGACATTGAAAAATGCAGCTCAAGTAAGTCAATTCAATGCACCAGATTTAACCAATTATGAAGTATTGTATCTTATCGAACAAATTATAACTGTTTGTTATCAAAACGTTGATAAAATCTATTTAATGTTCAATATTTTTTCTCACTATCAATTGATTTTCAGTGAAATGGATGTTCGGACCCGAGTTCTTCTCGTCACCTTTCTAATAATTCACTCAGGATTTGCACTTGCGCGATTATGTACGACGGGGGTCGTGAATTATCGATTGACTAGATTACATACTATTGTGATGACATTAACGGGAATGATGTTCGCATCGACCTACATTTGGAGAAGGGTCAACATTTCCATACGGTATTTTTTAATGGTTCCATCAAATATTTAAGCAATAGGTTATATAAAAATGGGACTATTTTTCTGTTTTTTTTAAATCCTGGTTTTAAATTTTTATTGTCCCGAAAATCATTTTTTATTATTGTCAAACCTAAATTTAACGACAGTTTTGCTGTGTGGCTAATAGACATCTCACCTTGGAAAAGAAAAATAAAAATCAATATATCATACTCGAGTGGTTTGGCAACAATTCATTTGATAAGCGTCACATTTTTAGAGAGATCATTGATTTTTCTCAAAATAAAACCAATTGATATCACACATTTTGGACTGCTCATGCATAAAATTGTGTGAGTCATAAAAACCATATGTGCGGCATATCAATGAACAAAACTTATGTAAATTTTGATAGAATTTTTATGACAAAACCCGTAAAAAAGTGACGTTGCTGCACAATAGTGATAAACGATTCATGAGAATTGTATAATGATCATGGTGGGTCTTGTTTGATGTTTATCATCAGAGCTTATCAACGTGAAAAATAATTTCAAACAAAATGGATAAGAAACTTAAGAAATTAATTTGTTTCTTTTTGTGGGCTAATGAAAAAAATTCACTTCCTTTCAGGTATTTCTTTCCAAGCGCTCCTGAAGTAAACCGAAGGCTTCGATTACTCTGTGTTAAGGATATTGCTCAAGGATTCCTAATCCTATTCCTATTTTTATCGCATATCGCCTTCTTCTTCTTTTATATTTTTCTTGGTGAGAGAAGCATCGATCTTTAAAAAAAAACAATACTAATGATTATTTTCAGGCTCTGAGCCGAATTTTTTTGCGTTCATTTGCTTAACACTGGTCGCTGCCTATGCGCATTTACTTGTTTTCCTGATTCTCGCCGACGCTTTTTACCAAATTTCGAAGTTAGTTCATAAGAAAATCACTTCAAACAGTGTCTATGAGTAAGAGCTAACTGAATTAAATTGAATATCTAAAAATACTGTAATAGGTATCTTAAAGCCAACAGAAGCTATCATATTTTTCTTGCCTTGGTGCTCGCATTCCTCTTCACATTCGGAGGATTGTATGCAACTCAAAGGGATCCTATCATAACAAGAGCAAATATTCCGATGAAGGTAAATAGAAAAAAATTAAAGCTGATTAAAAAAATTAAAAAATTAAGACGTTCGAAAACGATTCTGGCGGTAATGTTACACTTGCTCTCTTAACTGATATTCACATTGGGCCAACTGTTGGTAGGCGAAGAATTAGTACGATCGTAAAAATGACAAATGAGCTCAAACCAGGTGAACTTCTAATGAAGAAAAAAAATGAGCTTGAACAATGAGAGTCGTTATAGACATTATTGCAATTGCCGGTGATCTTGCTGATGGGTTGGTGGTTGATCTCAAGGGTGCCGCTGAGCCACTTTGTGAGCTCCGAGCTCCCGGAGGTGTCTACTTTGCAACTGGTAAGGGGTCTAACAATGTGAAAACAATAAATTGAGGAGAATTTTCAACAAATTGTTTTTTTACAAAATTTAGCAGGAGTTTCAACATTTCTAATGTTTCGAAAAAATTTTAATTTTAAAAATCGAATGGATAATTCATCTAAATATTATTTAAAAAAATACTCACAGCCAAAAACAAACTTCAAATAAGGACAATCGAACTAGAATATGGGGGCTTCTTCATTAGATGCGAATACCGATTCGCAAAGTTCATAAGGTTTCGTATATTACGCAACATCATAGAATGTTTTGGATTATTGAAAAATTATTTTTCATACCGGAGTATTCTATTTATATGAAAAAATGATGCGGAAAAAAATTTGTTTAATAGAGTTATTAACATCACTTTTCAGGTAATCATGAATACATGCATGGAGATGTGCGGGAATGGTTCGACTTCTTAAAGAAATGCAATATTACGGTACGTTCATTTAGTTAGAAATCTATAAAAAATAATTTTTCTGATCTACTTTCAGATACTGCACAACGCAAATCGGCATGTTAATATAAATGGACATGAATTCTGTATGGCTGGAGCTGACGACCTTTATGCGGAAAAGGCACAGTAAGTCATTTTTCTTTATCAGGAAAAAACCAGGAATTCGATATGAAATGTGTTCAACACCAAATGAGATCTGATTAGGGAAACCGAGGGAAATATATATGCAACAACATCCAAACATTGTTTTCGAAAATAATCCTCAAGAATTCTCTTGAATTACCACAAATTGGCATCAAATTTGCGATGGAGTAGATAATTGATCTTCTGAAATCAGCGAAAACAATCTGAAATTAATGTTTTTGTTTTGCTATAATTCATCAAAAAAAAATGTTCGTTTCACAATTTTTTTCACTAAAATTCAATAAACCCGTATTATCGTTTGCAAAAAGATAATCGTGCTTAAAATTCCAGAATATCGCAAAGAAATTTGTAAAATATAGATATGTTGGATTAGCAATATTCTTTTTGCAGTTTACCTGGTCATGGCATGGATTTGAAGAAGAGTCTTGAAGGGTGCACACAAGACTCCACCAATATTCTACTGGCTCATCAGCCCAATGCAGCCAAACGAGCTCTAGATGACGCTGACTTGTCTCAACGAGTGAATTTGATTTTGTCAGGTTCGAAATCATTTTTTCAATTCTTTTTAGTAAACTAAAAATTTCAGGACACACTCACGCTGGCCAAATGTATCTATTCGTGCCAATAGTTCATATAGCAAATGCCTTTGTTAGGTAAAATATTTCAAATGTTAATTTTTTAAAGCTTAATTATTTCAGAGGTCTCTATTATAACAAAATTGCTGATAATTATGTTTACGTAAGTGCTGGCGTCAACTACTTTGGTCCACCAATCAAAATCTTTGGAGGATGTGAAATCATCCAAATCAATATGTTTAAACCGTGAAATTGCTCGATACCTTGAAGCTGAGTTGTCATATAATTGTTCATGTATAACCACTGGCTTCTAACTACTTATTTATTATTCATATTTGGATCATCATTGCCGGTATGTTGTGCAATGTCAAACTAGTCATCTCAACAGTTGTGAATCTATTCAAAACCCTTAATTATCTACGCGTCGACTCTGGTTAGCCCAATTTCCCAGTTAATTAGCCGTTTATGAAATTTATATTTGAATATTTATTGCTTCATTTGTGGTTGTTCCGAATAAACGCTCAAATCTTACATATGTTTTTGGTTAATTGCTTGGTTTGAAATTGGAATTGGGCTCATGCCGGGTGTTATCGGCAGTGTGCCGGCGGCCCGCCAAAAAGTGCCCCATTTTTCGATTCAGAATTGCGGTTTTCTCTGCGTATATTGCGACGCCTAACGGAATTGTGCATATCGCAACCCTCTTGCTGTCTTGCCTTACATAGAAGAGGGGGGTCCGCGACAGCACATTTAAGTCCACTTGCAAAGCTTCATCGCGCATCACATCGACTAGCGAAAAAATAATGGCGAAATACAAGAAAGGTTTGAAATGTTACTCATTTATTTTAGCGATACCTCATATTGTATTATATAATTCTTTAATAGTTATTTATTAGATATGTCATAGTGCATATTATATTTTAAAACCATAGAAACGTATGTTTTTTCTTCAGGTAAAGAAGCAAAATATGCCGACGTCATAGCGGATGACGATGACGATGATGTTTTACCGGTTGCTCGAAAAATTGCAGAAACAACAAAAGAAGTGCGGAAGTTTTTTTTTTTAATTAAAATATGTATGTGAGAGGGTATGTATTTCCATAAATGAATATGCATATATGTCTCACATGTGAAATTTAAAGAAAAAATTTCAGTACATGATCTTTGCGTAATAATCGGTTCATTGAAAGATTTAGATTTCGTATTTGGAAAATGTGTTAATATATATGACGATATTTCTGGAATATTTTTTTCGGCAAATTGATAAAAAAGAGAAAATTAAACGATTTTAAGCTAATTTTTTTTAGGTAGATCAACCTGTACATTCGTCGCATTTCGATCTCGATGATAAACCATTCTCAGCAATCAACAAGGCAATTCTTCCAACATACATCGAGGATTCGCATGACTTGTAATCGAATACTTTTCGGTTACATTATGACGCATAGACACTTTAGGTTTGACATATTCGGATTCAGAAAGAAAAACGATGTGGTTGAGAAAAAAACTGACGAAGATGAACCGACGACATCGACTATCGAGAATAGTGCTCACAAGTGAAGCTTCAACCATTAATCATAACAATTTTAAGCCAGCTCTTCTTTCAGAATGAAATTCATTTCTCTTATTCAAGATGTGCACACTGAAGTGAAAGATGATGTACTGTGGTCGCATGTTTTGGGACCTGAATTAAAAACTGAACGGTTTGAGGAACTTCTGAAGCAAGGAGGTTCGTATCATTTATTATTTTTATCCCCCTTGTCATTTCTTTAGGAATACCACATTCAATGCGCCCGTATTTATGGCCAAGGTTGTGCGGTGCGACGAAAAAACAGAAAGAGGCGAAATATAATTATGAGAGCGTTTTGCGGCAGTGCGCACTGGACAAACCGTCAATTGGTGGGCGGATTAGATTCATGCTGCATTTGTTTCGATCTTTTTTTTTTCGAAATATCCCATTTTAGGAGTGCAAATTGAGCGCGATTTAATGAGAACCTTGCCCAACAATATTTGTTTTTGGAAGAAAAACTCGCATGGAATCGATGCGCTTCGGCGAATATTGAAATCGGTGGCATTCATTTACCCTGACCTGGGATATTGTCAAGGGATGGGTGTCATTGCTGCAAATTTGTTGCTCTATTGCTCGGAAGAAACGACGTTTTGGATAATGACGGCATTGATTGAGGATATTCTGCCACCAAATTATTACAGCCAAACCCTATTAGGGTTGCAGGCTGATGAAAGGGTGACCAGACATCTGATGAAATGTCATGTTCCTGACTTGAATAAAGCTTTGGACGATTATGAAGTGGAGGTATTCCATTAGATTTTTGTGGAATTAAAAGTAAATTTGCAAATTTTCTAGATATCTCTTCTAACAGTTAATTGGCTTTTAACATTGTTTGGATCAGTATTCCCAACGGAAGTCTTACTAAGAGTTTGGGACTTTATTTTCTACTCAGGCGGTGTGAACATATTTCGAGTACACCATGATTTTCGTGCAATTATGTGTATTACAATTATCCAAATTTTAGGTGATTATATCGATATTCAAAATGAGAGAAGAGGAGCTGGTAGAGATTGCGAACACGACAAAGTCATCTGCGGACATATTCACGGCTTTGAGTCGACTTCCAACAACGGTTGAATTGTGGAAGTGTTGAATTGATTATAATAGAAAATTTTAGGTTCAAGACGTGGAAAAGGTCATTGAGTATATGGGTTCATTTGAGTTTACAATAACAGATCATCTCATAACAGAATTAAGGAAAAAACATCAGGTAATTTTGCCACAGATTTTATAAAATAGCACTTAAAAATTGACTATAAACAATAGAAAAACTGCAAAAAGCTGAATAAATATGTATTTTGGTATAACATTTGGTTTTGAACACAATTTTTGGTTGCAGGCAATTCTCATGGCAGACCAAGGCATGATTGTGAATACATCAACGGATACAAACTTGCCAAAGCAGACCACCAAGCGTCGAAAACTGACAAGGTCAAAATCCATTATTAAACAAATATTCAATTCAAAGGATGAAGTGAGTTTTTAGTATTACTGCAGAATAATTTTTTCAAGCGATTTTTTTAAGCCGAACGACCCGAAAATGAAAAATATTCGTCAAACGGAAATACTTGTCGATTTGAAGGAGTCAGTTCTTCAGATATGCCGCTATTTTATATCATGCGATGAAAAAATGGAAATGAATGTTTGCACACAGGTTGTTTATTTTGTTGAGAATCTATGAAATATTATAACATTTTTAGGCTGATTACAGTCCAGAATCGCATAAAAAAGACATTGAAAATTATCTAAAAGGTCGCCGAGAGGGCGCGCGTCGTGCAAGAGCGTTGCTCGATTTTGCACGACAGGAGGATGACGAGCTTGGATTTCGGTAGTGCTAGATCATGATGATTGCCATTGGAATGGATTTTCAGAAAAAATGACATTGTGACAATTATCAGCGAGAAGGATGAGCATTGTTGGATTGGAGAAGTCAATGGGCTCCGTGGATGGTTTCCGGCAAAATTTGTGGAGGTCGTCGATGAGCGTGGCAAAAGTTACACAATCTATGGGGATGAAGCTGTGTCGCCGGAAATAACGGAATACATTCGAGGCAATACTTTTATTTTTTTTTTTTGGAATTTTTTTTCCAAAGAAAAAAACTTTTGAATATTCAGGTCGTCTGGCTAATAGTTTCCGGCAAATCATGGATCATGGGATTCGAGAAAACGTACTTTATTCATCAGTTGCATATCATCCCTGGTCGTTTGTAGGTAAGGTTTTGAAACAAATATTAGTTTGTTTTTTTTTCCAAACGTTTTGGTTTTACATCTTTCAAACGCTCAATCAAACAACATTATAAAAACATTAATTTCCGCTTGCAGAGGACATTGCATACTATTCTGTCGAGAAAAATTTCAATTCCGTGTACTCTCGTCTCACTCTTTGCAACACGTTCAACTTGGATCAGGACGGAAAGGTCAGCGAAACAAAAAAAAGTCATGAAATGACTGGAAGTGATTTGCAGATTCTGACCCCCGAGGAACTACTATTCCGTTCGGTTCAGCTAGTCAACGATTCACATAATTGCGTATCTGCCCATCCCGATGTTAAATTGAGGTAATTTCTCAAAGGTCAAGTACACCGAGAAAATACGCGGTGCACTTGAAATTATTGTGTCTGAAAAAAAAGTTGTTTTTCGTTTCGCTGAATGATCATTGATTTTTTTTGGTGTGTAAGTACTACTATTCTGAAAGTCTAGACATCAAAAGGAATCAAACATCTTTTCAGAAGTCTTCTTGTTCTTGGCGTAAACGAGCAATGCCTTCATTTATGGTTCGAGCTGTTCTGCTCAGCAACGTCTCATGAGCACATCCGCAACAAATATTATCATAGTTGGGCATTTATTCGCTCACCGGCTTGGCGGCAAATCAAGTGTGATCTTCGGCTGCTAAGCCAATTCTCGTTCAATTTAAGTATGACGTTTGAAATCGATGGAATAGATAAGAAGAAAAAGAAAGCGTCAAACGGGGTTCGAAAGTTCAATTTAAAAATAAATGTATTGCCATTTTTGCATTTTCAGCTTCTGACAAGCCATAAGAAGAAGATTCTGTCTACTGTTGTCTCCTCATCTCAAGAAGGAAAGAGCAACAGCGAAGAGCCATTGAAACAGGGCGTGACTGACATGTTAATCAAACATCATCTATTCAGTTGGGATCTTTAAAACATCTATTTTATTAGATCGCGGGTTTTGTTTGGCTTTGTCTTAATTTCAGCATAGTTAATTTTAGTTTTGAAATAATAAACAAGTTGGTATTCTCTTTCTTTATAATTTTAATTCGAAGAAAGCTTGAATAGAGATCATGTTCGGAAGGGCAATTCATACAATACATTGGTTGATGCAAACTTGACGGTGAACTGGAGTTTGAGAATGGTGGAAGAGATGGCCTTGAGGGCTCAAGCGATTGAGACCAATGGAGAACTAAAGTCGATTATTTTATTGGAATGAAATGAATGGAACAAACCTTCCACGGAGCACATCCAACTAAGCTCGCGTCTAGCTGCTCTGTGGCAAAAACTTTTCGAGAGAATGAGGCAACAACAACACCATTTTCGTATCGAGTTCCGTAAACTTGTACATTGTTTTGCTGAAATTTAGAATATTTGAAAATTCTGATTTTTTTATGAGTTCTGCCTCACCCTATCTGGCACTGGCGACGTGAATCCCCGAACAAACTCATCGGTCACAATAATTCGTCCATTCATGATGCGAACTACGATGACATCCAGCCCAGAGAACTGCAAAACTAGGGCATTTTTTTTTTCTTTAATTCGAACAATATACCCGCGTCATCACCATATATCATTTATTACATCCCTTCCTTTGTTTCACGTTGACCGCTTTTTAAATACTATTGCGCATCTTGGCGCCATTAATTGTGAACAGCGGGTGACAAAACTTTTTGGGGAGGTGTTGTAAAATTTTGTGGCAAAATTGGCCCCCACAGACAAATCGCGTCGTACATGGCCGAAGTAAAATATTACTCGACGCAAGCGGCGCCGAGAGAGCAGACGGCGAGAGGACCCGATGCGTGCGGTATGTATGGCAAATGCCACTCGCTCTCTCGTGGCCTTGTGGCCTAATGGATAAGGCGTCTGACTTCTAATCAGAAGATTGCAGGTTCGACCCCTGCCTGGGTCAAAATTTTTTTGAAAGGTTTTTTTTTTAGTCTCTGGTAAATGATTCCTAGTCGTATACGAAAAAAGCGAATTTCTTCATCGTATAAGATAAAATTAAAATCGTATACGTTAATGGTAATCGTATAAGTTAATGTGAATCGTATAGGATCGTATACGATTCTGATGAATGGTTTGTAATCGTATACGAAACATCCGCATTTCCTCGTCGTATACGTTATTGCAAGGATCGTATACGATTTGGATTTTATCACAGTAGTGTAACCACCACAATGATACACTGCGGACATGCATTAAAATTGACGTCTAAATTCGAAAAACAATTTTCGAAAATTTTCGAATTTTTTCATATTCGATTTTTATGCGTATATTGCGTTTTAATATATATACTTTCCAAAAAAATCGTGCATTTTACTGCCCCCGCTCTAAGAAATCCTTATTTCCTTTGTAGATATGTCGCAAAATTCAAAATTATTTGCATATCGAAAGCGATTACACCACACGAGAAATCATGGAAAACATATATAGGGAATATCGGAACGAGACGGAAACAGGTGATAACAACAGAAAAAATGAAGAAAATAACTATTTTCAGAAAATAGAGATATTTCAACCTTAACATCAGGTATAACTAAAAGTAAAAACAGAGCAAGATTTAATTTCTATAGATTCTGTAGAATCGTCTGAAGATGAACTCACTTGCGCGGAAGAAGATTTTGTGTCAATGTCGAGCTGTGACAACTTGCAGACAGTCATTACGTTGAGAGGTTGTTACCGTTTTTGCATATTTTTGAAATTATTTCGCTTTAGGCCAATGGGAAGCATTATCTTCGCGAGATTTACTGTTGATTCACTTTTTTTTGACTTATACTAGCTCAAAAACAGGTTGGTTGAAGAGTTTTTAACCATTATCATAATTTTCAGCGATCATTCGTTATTTTGAAATGGAAGAAAATCGAAATGAAGTTGAAATAAAGAAAATTTTGCTGGAAAATGCCAAGCAGACAATTATCAATGTGTGTGGAAACTGTGGAAATGACAATGAAAAGTAATTTACGTGTGTTGATATTTTTTTAAATTGTTTTTGGAGAAATTCAATAGCAAATAACATGATATTCAGATGTACTTGCGCGATTGGTTATGTAAATGCCGAATTATGTTTTTCCGATTTAACGGAAAGATTTCAATCATTTATACAATTGAATTCTAAGAAAATATTGCAAACTCGAAATAAAATTTTTCAAGATGAGCCATGCTCGTCTCCAATGGCTGAAGGGATTCTAAAGAAACGACTTCTAAAAGAAATCGAAAACGATAACCAAAGAGTCATTGTACATTTCATGTGTACATTTGATGGCGTAAAGCTGAGGAGAAATGAAAGGCAAACCATTTCGATAAATTTATTTTAAAAGAATGTAGTTTTAGTCGAAAGTGCTGGCCTTTTTCTATTCAATGTTTGGATTTCGAAGATAACGATTGTGCCCGAACTAGCTCGATTATAGTATCGTCTATTTATCTAAGTAAGGTGGACCCGTCTTCATACATTCACGATCGAATCGTAAAGTGGGTGATCAACAGCTTTTCGACGCCGTACCATCATAATGGGATTTGGTATCAAGGAGCTCTTGTTGCTGGCTCGCATGACGATCCCGTGAGTTGATTTTTTTTTTCCTTTAAAAATTCCCATTTGTAGGCTAGAAGAAAGGTATATGGCTTAAAGGGTCATTCGTCAAAGGGGGCCTGTGTATTCTGTTTAAACCAATCAACTTTCGTGAAAATCAATGATGAGAGCGTCAAAGGTCTGTTACTTTTATGATTCTAAAACAACTAAATGTAGACCGTCACGAGTATGGGGTCCGAGTACCTCTTAATTTGGAAGACGGATTAATGCAAAAAGGAAAACACACTTTTTTTAATTCGATTATTCCAATGTGGGAGTCGCCAATTGATTCATTTCACTGTTTTGAAGAAGGTATATTCAAAAAAATAATTGAAGGTATTTATAGTTAACTTTCTGTTTTTATATGTTCTTTTCAGAAGTATTCGGAAATGAACGCCGTTATAAAGTATTCGAAGGTTGTCGCTTGATGTTAAACACGAGCATTCGAACACCCTCAAACTTTCGTTCAATTTCTGGACGGATTCATGAAATTACAGGTTGCGAAAGGACTGTGGTAACAAAAGCTATATCATTTCGCAAAAATAATAAGTTTAGATCTTCGAATCATCGCTGGTATCCGCTGCATTAATTGGAAGGCTACCTGCTGATGCTTCACTGATAATCCTCCTATTCCATTGTTTATATCGAACAATAGTATCTCCGATGTCAATCGGTGACAAGAACTTATACGATACGGTGAGTGAGGAGTTAGTTTCATTACAGTCGGCTTTATATTTAGGTATCCAATATTTGCAAATGTATAAAAATAACGCTAAACCGAGTATGTCCCGAATTTTATCGCGGCGCGAAAGTACATGTAAATCAGTTTAAAATTGAAAGCATTCTAAGTGTTTTTTTTTTCAGCAGATTGTATTCCACTTATCCGAAAACGTTCGAATGTATGGGAGCCCGTATCCGTTCAGTACCCAATCCTCCGAGCACGTATATCACAGTTTGAAACGACTATTATCGTCAGAAATCACAAAGGGAATTGGGCAAAGAATGTTGCGGAAGTATGCTTTATTATAAAATTGTACACCGTAGAAAAATTTTAGTGCTGCAATTTTGCAAGATTTGACGACCGAAGTTCGTTCAAGACTTCATTCGGACCCAACGACAAAACAACATGATGTGTCTATCGTGAAACTGAGAAAACTGCTATTTCGATATTCGGAGAATGATGATATCGAAAAAACGACAGATGTCCCACTGAAGTACTCAATGCTGGCTCAAAAAGGCGATTTGTTTACTGAGAAATACAGCTATCAAGGCTCACACTACTCAATACAAAGAAATACTGCTTCGGATAATAGCGTCGTGATGTTTCGTTGGCGAAATTCACTGCAATATGGCGATGTATTGGGATTTCTCCTCAATGAGAAGTTCGGTGACCGGGTTATTCTACAACCATACATTCTAAATACAGACAACCTATTGCAATTAGCAAACTCACTCCATCAAAATTTTCAAAAAGAAGAAATTAAGCAATGCATTTCGACAATCGGTTCATGCAGATATGGTGCTGTGGTGAGAAATAAAGGTTCTCTATTTTGCTTGCCAATTTCTAACCTTATTGGCTACGCCATCACAGTTCCTGACAATGGAATCACGACTGTTTTACCATTTTCATTCAGACCTATGCTATCTTGAATAAAGTATTTATTGATCATTCAGTGATATATTAGAGTTTATCCGTTAGTCACGGTTAACTTATCTAATTTCAGTTAATACACACTTTTTTCCGATTATAATTTTGTTAAGGATGTCAAAGCGCACGCAGTCATTTGTAAAGCAAATAATTGAAGCGAACGCCTCAAGAAGAGAAATTAAAGAAACTCGTCCAAAATCCAAAGCAACATCGCATACCAATACCAAACGCAATTTGGTTTTACGACAAACTGGATTGCAAACGGTAAAAATGCTTGAATGGTTAAAAAAAATAGTGTTCATATTAAGGCTGTCGTTGACGGAGAGCTCATCGAGGAAGAAGTCGATGAAAATGAGCTGTACTTCGAAGACTATCGTCAAAACGAGCTGGATTTTGGAAGCATCGAAGGCATTCAGGTTGACGATATGCCAAACGACCAACCAGCAAGGAAGCGTAAAATTGTGGTGGGATTTTACATCTTTTTCCTGTTTTCGAATCTTCATTATTTTTAAAGAATGGTTTATGCCCATTAGAACTTGGCGAGGATCTGTATCATTCGACTCCGGAGGAATTGATCGACTTGAAAGTAATTCAAATTTTAACATTCCACTTTAACGCAAATTTACAGAAGACTGTACATACCAATCTCTCTGGAACGTTTCAGTTCGATCATACGAACGTGGATCAATTATTTTCTTCGTCCGATGATCATTTGAGGACAATTGCCTTTGCCATGAAAGGAATCATGTTCACGGTATGTTTTATTTATTGTTCAATCATTCCAAATGTAATGGTACCAGATTTCGCAAAAAAAAGCAGTAAAATCATCAAAAGCCGTAAAAAAAATATCAGAACTCGTCAAAACCGGCAAAAACCATTATAATTATGGTTACCGCTGTTTGAGTTTTTTGCGAAATCTGCATAGTACCACAATAGAAACTATAGAAACCCTATTCTTCCAGATAGAAACTTTATCCCAAAAATTCGCGGCAAAGCCAAACAAAAACAATGTGAGTATTTTTTTAAATTTTGCTATTCTCTAAATTTAGATCGACGTGATCGCCGTATACAACCCTGAAGCTCTTAAAGACGCAGAAATAATTATTCGATCACTGGATGGAAATGGTGGGTTTTCTGTGTTTCGAAAGCTTTGAATTTGTATTAAATCTTTTAACAGGAGACATCAACGTGGCCCAAATATTTTTGGAAATTCCGTTCATGAAGGCAGCTCTGAAGCATGTGATAAATACTACTGTCAACAGATTTGTCGATAAGGTATCTTACAATTATTTAAAGTTGCAAAAAAATACCTTCAGACAATTCCGAATAACGATCGTGTGAATTATTCAACATCGTTTAAGCCAACGCCGCCGCACGCAACGCTTCCAGTTCGGTTTGTCAACACAGCGATTGGTATGCTCAAATAGCGCAAAAAATGTTTAAAATATGTTTAAATTAATTTCAGCTGTTTTACAAAAGACGGTTACCATCGCTGGAATGGCTGACGAAACGGCGAATTCTACAATCTCCTATTTGGTACACGGTCATATGACCTATCTCCTGTGAGTTTTCACTTTTTTAGTGGGCCTATGCAGATTTTGAAAAGAAACGCAGTAAAAACCTTTTAAAGAAACTCGACAACATTATAAAGATTCGGCTAAACTAGTCTTAATCAGATTTTTTGCGTTTTTCTCCAAAATCTGCACATGCTGAAGACTGCCTCATGATTAATCATTCAAATGAACTTAATTCAGAAACAATTCACGATCGAAAGCGCGAGCAGTGGAAAAAAATGGTTGATGCGCCAACCAAAATTAATTTATTTATTCTTTTTTCTTTTTCATTTTTTTGTCTTTCATATTTTTTTTTAATAAACAGGTATAGAAATCTTTACATCATATAAAAACGTTAAAATGCCAAACGAGTAGTGTAAAGTGAAATGGTATACGAAAAAAAATCTCAATCGAATACGAAAAAATCTCAATCGAATACGAAAAAATCCCAGTCGAATACGAAAAAATCCCAATCGAATACGAAGAAATCGTTACCGTATATGAAGAATTATAGTCGTATACGAAGAAATCACAATCATATACGAAGAATTATAATCGTATACGAAGAAATGCCAATCGTATATTAAGAAATCCCAATCGTATTTGGCCGCGTTTGAAGAGCGATATCAGCGTATACGATTGAGCTTTCTTCGTATACGACTCGGAATCATTTACCAGAGGTATTAAATGACTTTTTGATTTCCTTAATTATCAAGTATTGACTAGAGTATTCTAATTGTTGAGAATAATAGAAATTTTGAATTCTTTGTAAAACGGCTATGTTTTAATCAAAATGTATAATAATTTCATTTCTTGTGAACTTTTGATTCGTTCTTCATCTCAGACAATCGCTTTTTTTTGTAAACGTGCGTCACGCAATATCGGAAGGCCCAGGTGAGTGTAAAACCACTGATTTATAATGATAACAGATGCTTGGATAATATTTCTCAAACCTGTTCCATGGGAGACTAAGAATCGCATAATGAATAGATTAATAATGTAAAAACGAGACAAATTGCTGAATCTTTACCATGCTATTTCCAAAGCCAATAGCTGTCCATCCGGTGACGGAAGGTGAGATTCCGGTCAGCACCACACGGAAATGAACAGTATCGCCGCGGATACCATACGTGATTTGTTGGCCCTGCGTAACAAACGTACAAGGTGTCGCATTTACAACTAAAATTTCGTAATTAATTAAAATCACATTTTTCAACAATTGATATATACCTGAAACAATGGATATCAGCGTGACCAACGGGATTAACCGCATCATGTGATGAAATTGGGGTGCCAGCGGCGGGGCGACAACGATAAATATTGATAGTAGGATGTCCTAATGAATTACCGATGCGGTAGAGGATGGATCGGCGATTTTGCCGCGGACGTATTTGATTTCACACAATAACCGATCGTGAAGACGTATGCGCCAACTCCGCCCCCTAATGGGAGGCGGAAAAAGATGGCGACGTTGCAAAAATTTTGGAGAGGTTTAGGAGAGGGAATTCAAAAGTGAGGCGATTGTTGAACGCTTGCAATTACGTTTGGAGGGTTCATAAACTTTTATTGGTACTTGTTCAAATATTGGTCGAAGGTCTGGTCAAAAATCGTCAGAAAAGAGGAACAACGGAAATTGTCTGAAATTTGAATAAATAATGTGTTCTATAATTACAGCTTTCAGCTTTCTGAGTTGTTATAGCTTAAAACGTTAATTGTTAGTCAGATAAATAGAAAATAAATGAATGTAGCTGTTATAAAGCAAAAAAACGCATCTTTGGTAAAATGAATAAAAAAACGAAATTAGCCCTAAACCGGTCAAACCATATCAAATTATTTTGTTCAAATATGTATATTACTTATTTTAGTATTTTTTTTTATTTTAAATAAGTTTTCAATATATAGTAGTTCACATCAAAATTTTTTGAATTTTTTTTTTAAATACACAATAGGACTATTCATTATAACACTTTGATGGTTGTGTGAGACATTTTTTGATCCCATCTTTCATTTTTTTCCCGCGACATTTTTTTGGCTGTTTCTTTAAACTCTTACGATATATTCCCGCTTTTACTTTCACCAAATTTTTCCTTTTCGATTTTGCCTAGCGATCGACGAACGAGGAACTGAATTCAACGAATCGCGGGGTTTATGGGTGCAATATAAAATTCGAAAAGACATTTTCGCGTGTGATTCATTATTTTTTTTAATTAATTGAACTAATTCAATTCGCCACCAAATTTTCTTCACATTCTACATTGAAAATTGACAAAAGATCGGTTTGTTTAAAAAGTTTGAAGACCAATTTTACCAGAGTTCAGTTTTTTCGCAATTTTAGTTGGGAATGAAAATTTGCAATTAAAATCATTATCTCAGATTAACTTTTAGTCTTCAGACTACTGATTCAAATATTCAAGAAATCGAAGGAAAGTTTATTCATTATTTTTTCCTCACTGTAATTTTGCCGCTTCCCCAATTTTAGCAATTGATTCTTGAACGTTTATCTGTTCGTCAATGGTTCTTCAGTTGGTTATTTGTTTTCGATTTATTTAATGATCGAGAGAAACGTAATTTTTTATCTGATTCATCACCAGTAGCATCGAATTTCCGGAAAAGGAAATGGTTATCACATCAAACCGTTTTTATATTTGCCCAAGGACAAATATGGTGTAGATCTTCACGGTTTTTATTGCAAGTGTAAATTTTGCATTGTAGTACTACATTGAAACATTTGTCTGCAGAAGAAATATCTGTTCGGCGTTTATTTTTTTCTCAAATTGAAATGTCTCCCAAACATCAAATTCGATTTGAAAAATTGGCGTCTATCCAGTTTGGCAACCTTGAGGGAAACAATTGAAACAAAAAAATTGTCGAAGAAAAATGGAGAAACCAAAAATTCGCGCTCCCGATGTGACAAACACGATCATATGTTCTTTTAAAAATTGCCTCACGCCAGTATGTGTTACAATGAAAAGATTAATTACTCAATTGTTATTGAATTGCATAGCTAAGCTTTGTACAGGTTCCGCGTCAGAACTTTCGAATTCCAAAAATTACACAATGATTTTGTTGCGATGGACGAAGTCGTTAGATAAGCGGAAAACAAAGCTTCAAAAGCCTTATGACAGTTGTTACAATTAAAGCACTTGTTACATAGGAAGAGCAATGATTTCTCAAAATCATTGTCCAAGTAAGATGTAAATAGTATCAACTTCATATTCCTGAAATTATTGATAGTAAAAAAAAATTTTTGGCATTTGAATTGTTCTCCGAAACAACTTATGCTCAAAACTCCAAGAATCTTCTTAATTGATCCAATATGGATCTTAAAATTTTTTTGCGATGATTTTCTAATTTTAGTGGTCATTGTGTTTATATAAACAAGATGAAGAGACCTTTCAAAAAATACAATATTTTTATGACAACATGGTTTTAAATATTCGATTCATATTTTATTATATATTTGCAAAAAGAATGTAACTCAATAACACCGAGTAAACGTGATGCACATCTAAAAATGAACAAGAATCGATGTGAAGTTATGAGAGGAGTATTACTTTCAGGAAAAAATGAACTAAAAACAACCCGAGTGAATCGGAGTTTACGGAAAACAATTTCGATGAAAGAATCTTCACATGGGGAAGAACGGAAAAGTGTGAGAACAGGTTGATCACAATGATTACCAAAAAAGTTCTACAATTATGAATGAAACGAGCGGGGAAATTATCTCTCTTTTTTTTTAAAGAATTAAACACTAAAGTGAAGATTTAAAAAGTGAGGACGATGAAAACAAAAAAGAGACACGAAAATGACGGAAATTTTACAATCAACACCGGCTCGCAATTTTTCAGCGAGATATCAGCGTTTAAAATAATGTTTTTAAATGCAGCATTTCTACGGGCTATACCCTGAATGGAGAGAGGTAAGCATTATTGTCAAGAAATGGCAATCATTGCATAACATGGTTTCTTATTATTTGCAGGTTGGGGGAAGCTTGTTCTTATGAGCTTCATTTTTGATATGTAGTTGGAAAAATTGGTGTCTACAACACGATAATTGCGACGAAGAGAACGAGGAATGTCGAAATAATTGTGCATCCTGATTGGGTAGCCAAATCTAGAAGGATATAAGACTTCGTCCAGAAAAAAATTCTAAATGATTCCTACCTTTGTCTTCGGAATCCAATTGAACTCTAAGCGCATCTTTTGCCATTGATCCCCATCCCAACGCATTTCTTGCCTTCAGCTGAATGTGGTACGCGCGGTTCGGCTCCAAGAACGATGCCAAATCCATCGAATGCGTCCATTGGTCATCGCCATTGTTGTCAGCTGCAATAAAAACCGCGGCTGAGATTCCGAAACCGATTCAATCTAATCTCACTCTTCTTCACGCGAATAGAATGACAATCCTCCGGGAGGAAATGATCCTGCGTCTCGAATCGGCGGCACAATTGATATTCCAAGATTTTGTCGAACGCGCGCACCGTCCATGTGAGCTCGCTTCCATCAAGTGAGAGTTCTGGTGGTCCAGGCCTACCTGAAAATCTCCCCCAATGAAATGAAAAGCGCGTGTTGTGCAGGTACCACCCTCACTTCCCCGGGGTTTCATCTAATTCAATATGCAAATTTGTCGGCTGACAACTCAAAGAGCTCAAGAATAATAGGTTATGGTTGGCTATCTATTCAATTCCATTTGTCCGCCCTCCGTCACACCAAATGCGCCAATTTTTTGTGCGCGGCTCGTGAATTATTCAATTTCTCCAACAAATGTGGGCACACACAAGCGTTTTAATCGCTGCCAATTAATTGGCGCGTTTTGTGGTCTTGGTGCAACATACCGCTAACGTGAACAACTGATGTAACCGAGCCGAGGTTATTGGAAATTCGACAGGCATAGTCACCAAAAGCTTCCTGAAATTTAGAATTTTTATAAAAAATTTGAAAAATTTAAGTGTTACTTCACTAATCTCCCCAACAGTCAACGTAGTCTTACTGTATCCATTAAGACGTTGAGCAGTTTCAGTAGTCTTCTTAAACTTCTCGTCGTTGAACTAAATTAAAATAGGTGAGCAATTAGTGTCCCCCATTTGGGTGGATTCCTACATTGATTTTATATCCATTGAAAAGCCATTCAACCTGAGGAACTGGAGTTCCGTCATAGGTGCACCAGAAAGAGGCATTCTGATTTTTGCGCACCGGTATGAAAGTGTTCTCATTTTTCACCCATGGTTTTTCTGAAGAATAATTGTTGAGAGGCAATTATTTCATGGGGATATTGTTTGAAAGGTGAGAAAGCTGAAGCATAGAGGCGAGGTGAGCCAAAGACGATCTTGGTTGATCACACATAAGAAGCACTATGTTGAGTTCTATGGGTTTAGTGAGCATTAAAATGAAGCATGAATGCAATTTTTTTTTTTGAAAAATTGCCAAGTTTCTATAGATCTTTTTTGCTTGCAATTTATTCAATTTCCCATGATAATTATTCATTCGACATGTATCATATGCTCATCCATATGGTGGAGGATAATCGCAAATGCATCGTTTTGTCACTAAGTCTTTTTGCCGAAACTGTCACCTATTCCATCAACCATCTGTTGAGAATTGCGGCTAATCTGCATCCCTCATTACCTATTTTTTTGGACATTTTCTCTATCGTCTCAATGGTTTGGGATGGCTCGTCGTTCTAATAATAATTCTAGGGTATTCGAATGGAAGGCGAATCATCGACCGTCAACAGGATTAATTTCGGGACCACAAATTAGGAGAGCAACCGTTCCTCCCAACCCCTTTTCGCGCATTTAAGGCATTGTTTGTCATAAACAAAAATATTATTGCATTGTTGCGATTCATCGCCTGGTCTTCTGCATGTGCAGCTGCCCCCATTCCCCCCTGGTTAATTCAAAGCAATTTTCCAAAAGATCGTCTTTTGTTGGGCAACACCTCGACGCATGGGCAGATGTGCGGTAACAGAATGATTTTGGCGGGGCACGCCTAAAATTCCAATTTCATTCCGAACCGCTTGACGGCGGAAGATAGTATAGGACGTTACATGCACAACACGACAAACGCATACTTACCTTCACGAGTTCCAGCAACAGTTTCTGAAATAAAGAAAAACTGATTAGAAAATAAAAATAACACTGTTAGAATTCAAAACATAGCTGATCACATCAAACTAGCAAAACAACTCATTGAGATTCTTTGAAATGATTTAATAGTCTCCCGGTTTTTCAAACCAATCCATATTATTTTTCGCTCAAGCTTCCCTCCAAAACATTATTCTATTAATAAAAAGCTAGCGTCCTCATCGAAACGAAACGTTTTCACGTAGTACTACAACACTTGCCCTATGTATTTCATGTATCCGTGTTCCTCATTTGATAAATCGTCTCTCACTAAACACACCACAAAAAACAAGTCAGACATTAAAAAAACACACAGCACATACACACGGATCTCGTATCTTCATTCTCAATGTTGCAAAGTTTGTTCCACTCTGATGATATACGGGCTCCCCAAAAACACACACACACAAACATTCGCCTCGTTAGTTAGAGCAAATCTGCACTTTGCGAAAATACTCCTTCTTAGATGATTAAAGAATGCTCATTTTGCTCGAGGCGTCACGAGACGCTCTGTTCATTAGAGATGCGCGAACTCTAATAAGTTGTATTATAAATATTCACGTACCAGCCACATTGATCTCGATTGTGGACCTATCATTTCCAGCGACATTTTCAGCGAGACAGTTGTACTTTCCAGCGTGATGCTTTTGCACATTTAAAAATACGATTCTCGAGCCACCATGCTCACGCTTAACATCGGCTGGGAATGGAGCACCCTGAAATTTGACTCATTATGGGATCAGTATTAACAATCGGAGGTCTCCCCCTCCCGATAATTGGCATATTATCGGATCAATTGCCAAGGATATTTGACTCCGAAGACGCAATTATGAGAGGGAAACGTGTTGAGCGTCTCGGCAATTAATAATTTTTTTTTGCAGCGCTGACCTGCTTCGTCCAAACCACCGTTGGCTTCGGATTGCCCTCCTTCACGTGGCACGTCAACACCAAATTCTTCTCGCCGACACGCGCATGATAAACTCCCGAATCCGGCGAGATCACAACGACGGGTTTTACTGAAATTGAATAATATTTGATCGCAAGTCTCCCTCCCCCCATCCCACTGCCTTCTTTCATTTGTGTCGCGTGCGCATGGGTTAAATCTGAGCGCAGATGGAAATCGCCATGTATTTCTTGGTGGGCGAATCGTTGCATAATGACAAATGGGTAATAAGCGGTTGGGGTTAACGATGGACACTGGAGATAAGAATTGAGTGGTGCGCGAAAAACGAGGAAAAACCACAACATTATTCATTCCTTCATGCTAGTTCTGGAATCGACGCTACCGACGTACCTTGAACTTTCACAACAAATGTGACATGTACTTCGGGCTCTGACAAAGCGCAGGTATAGTTTGCCGAGTTAATTGGCTCGATTCGTTTGATAGTCAACGCAGAAACCTGAAAATTGTGACTTGCAAGAGAAAACAATGTTTTGGAGATACCGAATTCTCAATGACGACTTCATAGCCTCCAAATGTGTCTAAGATGTCCTCATCCACTGCGATCACATCATCGTTCTTCTTCCAGATAATACTAGCATCATTGACATTAGCAACTTCGCATCTCAGCGTGACAGGTTGGCCTTCCCGTGCCTGAATTGACTCATTTTAACAAATACGCTGATTCCATTCTAATACCACAATTGTTCCTCCAAGCGTCTTGATTTCAGCATTCCCAATGGCGAAGAAAGCGAACAGAATGAGAAGACGAATCCTCATATCTCTTCCTGCAAACAAATTTTCACATAAATTATCGTACAAAAGAGCAATAATAAAAGGAAGAGGTAGCAAAATTTCAACAAAAGTTTGCCATCTTATCACTCGCCGCTATCAGTATGAATGTCTTGAATGGTCAGTTGTAAAATCGGCAGGACGCTCTTGGGGGAGCCTAGCAATCGTATAACGCGCAGCAGAGCGAATAAAAATTGACGATATGAATTAAAGCTGTTTACGATTCCCTTGGTGGTCTGATATGCCTTTATATAGGAAACCAAAATGGTGGGCTGAACGTGGCAGGCAATTTCTAAACAAAAATTGCTGATATGTGGATTGAATTTCAGCGAAATGTTTATGTTATCGTGACTGTAGTGCCTTGCCGACAAGTATGAGTTGGGTGAAATGCAAAGAACGCATGAGCACCAATGAGCGTATGTGTGTAATAAATCGGCAACGGGGCGCAGGGCTCCGCCCAATCTCAAACAGCTTTGGGCACAAAAAAACTGCTCGATGTGTGTGGGGGTTGGCACCTATACAATTTGAAGAGCAAAGGGATAGATAACAACATTTATATATCATCGCATGACGATCATGAGCTGGCCTATAGCCGAGCGGTTTTTTTTGGGTACGCTGCTCGCGTTGTGATAATTTCATCGGCTCTTCAAGTGTTTTTTCTATGTGAATTAGATGGATGGATGGCTGACATCCCGCAACATATAGCATAGTATAGTTGAAGAACGAACAATCATCAAAGAATTCTGCCGAAACTCTTGAATTTGCGTTTGAGAAATCGGAAAAAGATAAAAGAAGCATAAAGTTTAGTTTGAAGTCGTTTCTTGAAATCAACGACTCCATCGGATGGTCCTTAATTGAGGAGTTTGCTAAGATTTCACCACCACAATTGATGAGGTTCGCCAGATAATAAAATAAGCCATATGACTGAAGGGTGGGTGGCTCTGCACCCAAAATGGATGACGCTGCACAACACACACACACACACACACTAGCCAAGCATCCGGGACTAATTGTAAGGATGCTCTTTGTTTGCTAGCCTAACCTAGACTCACTCAATCAGAGGGCGCTGCACTGGTTGTTTATCCCCCCATTGTTCATTGTCGCGCCTCCTCCACAATTCGTTTTTTTTTTCTGAGCTTAGACTCAAAATTTATGGGTTCGAATATATATTTTTTTTCTCGGGGCAATGCAGGACAAACAAGGGGATGACGTCTAGCAAATTTAGTCATATGGGTTTCCTATATACGGAGAGGTGTCGGTAATGGTTCGAAGCAGATGTGTGGAAATGCCGCGCAAAAAAAGATCGAGGTCTCGTGGCCACAGCTGGACCGGAATTTTGAAATTTATGTCTCGACGTTAAAATCAAACGCCTCAAACATCTCATAAAATCACTGATCGAAACCGACAAGCACTGAGTGCCAATGACGGTAATGTGTTGCAGCGACCTGGTCGGACAATTGCGGTGTTTCTTAGTTATATATGAGTGGTGTTCTTCCGCCACCGCCGACGAGAACTTATTATAATGCGTTCTACTTTCACGGGAGAACCGATTCTGCATTATTTCATGTGTTGTTTGCTAAATGGACATTACATAAATACCGTATAAAACCACGAGCGCATATGTATTTGAATATGTGGAATTGGAATTGGGGAGAAACTCAGCGGCAAAACTTTCACTTTATTAGTTTTGCAATATTGGGAAGAGGAATGGGAAAATAGGGAAAGAGGGGGGTCTTAGTACCAAAAACAAGGCCTTAGAAATTACAAATTTAAATTTCAAATTTTTTCGCGCGTCTTGAAAAACAATATGAAAATATTCGACCTTTGCAAAAATGAGAAAAAAAATATTTTTCCTGGCATGCATTCTTCATTCTTAAGCAGAAAAAAGTCCATCTTTCACATCAGAAAAAAGGAAACAAACATCAAAATTGATGCAATTTTTAAGAAATACAAAAAAAGCTTCGGAACCCATACAAGGGACATGATCATATGCGAGTAACGGAGGGCGGCCACCCTTCTAGTGGGCGTGGCTTGCGGCATGGACAAATGCGCGAGAAAATGACCACAGATTGTTTGCTCCAGCTCTTCACGCGCGCAGAATATCAACCGGAATGATATTGAAATGACACGAGGGCGGATGAAAGCGAAATTGCAAAAACGTAACATTGCAATACCACTAGAGATATTGGATTGTGTTGTTTTTGGTGGAAAATTGTTATAAGCGACAATGATGGATTCGGATGGCCCTTGGGGGAGGGGAGGCGTCGACGAGTCATTTTCAATAAAAGGAGAAGCGCAACATTTATGTATGTTCGCTTAAAAGTACAATTGAACCACTTGCGCACGCGATAAGCCAATGCTTTTGCTTTTTGCTGCTTCTGCTGCATCTTCTATCATAATGCAAACACCGAATGGAAATCGAATTCAAGCATCGTTCCCATAGAATAAAAAATGAGAGAATGAACAATTCACATGAAAGTGCAAAATCGTAAAAAAAAAGTTTCTGAAAATGAAATTAAAAATTAATAAAAGAAAAAAGCGTGTGATTCATCGTATTTCAATGATTGTAGAAATGTCTGTCAGCGACTAATTAGAAAAAAAAAATATTGGTTCAAATTGAAAACGATTCTAAAGGGCATGGTTCGTTTCTATAAAATTGTTATATTACATTCAATAAAAAAAATTAATTAATGAAAAATTTTTGAAAAATTTAATTTAGGACCTTATCTTAGAGCTAAAATAAACATTAGGGAATGATTGACATTTTAAAACTAGGGCGTGATAAGAAATGATTCATAGGTATATGAAATCGGGCCATCTTGTAATACGTACCTTTATCACGCCTACGTAGAGCTAATACACCGCGAAAGCTTATTGGACGGAAATTGAAATGCTATGATATGGCGTAGCAGAACGTCTTTTATATCTATCTAAATGTTTCTGATGATTCATAGCTTTTGTATTTTTTTTAATATTGATGTTCGACAAAAATAAAAACAATAAATCATTCGAGAACTATTTGAAAATGAGACGGTTTCGAAACTAACAAGTTCAACATCCCCCACGCCCATATAAGTATGTTTACTTATGCAATGAGCTGGCAGATGACCTGGTCGGTGTTTATACATTTTCAAAACTCGCTTATGGATTAACTTCAAGTGCCAATGTTGTATGTATACTAAAAAAAAAATATTTATTTCGCAAGAGTTTCCGTATGGAGCCACCCCTCTCCCCTCCCGCCCTACACGCCTATTATAGAATGAGTGTGAGTGACAAATTACCGCCAAACCAAACGAAAAATGTTTCGGCTTCTCCGCCCCTCACCACCGCCGCCAATAATAATAAAGTGCGAGGGTAACCTCAACGGCATCAAAATCGAAAAGCAAAAGCAATTTACATTATTAATTTGGGTGTGAGCCACGTTGAAGCGGCAGTGGGCGTTTTGCATGTAAAAATGTTCCCGCGCATCTTATGGAAGTAGAATTCATTCGAAAATGCTAAAATTTTCATTGGAATAATCATCCAAAAAAAAACGTTGAGGGTGGAGGCGTTTAGGATATGTGTGATGAGAAAAAAAAAATGCGTAAAAGAGACAATGTGACATTTTGCGCATAAACGGAAAATAAATGAAGTGCCACCCAAATGAAGAATGGACTTTTGAGAGAAATGGAAACTGAAAAATGCTATCAAAAAATGGGAAAGGAAAAATAGCGAAAATAATGCGGGTAGTGAAGCATGAGAAATTATATAATCTATTTAAATCTAAAGGGTTCAAGGTTTCAAGAAAATCCACATAGAAAGGAAATATTCAACTTTCAGCATACTTTTTACATACTAAAGCAAATCAAGTTGAAAACAGAAAGATGTCCCTAATCTCCTCTCTTGCACATAGCTTATAAAACCTATATATATAGAAGTCATAATAACATTCTAACTATTCACATACTAAAATATTTAGAAGATAATTAATTAAATGGGTATTTCACACACCGCCGCTAACCATTGACCGCACAGTAAAATTTGACACCGCTAATGACAGGACAGAACTCAACTAGTTAAACGCGGTTCGCCATCGGATCGGCTTGAAGTGAATAGAATGTGACACACGGTTCGCCGAATATTTCAGTAACAATAGGAGTGCGTCGAAGGGCGGAGAGGCAACGGTTGGATATAATGAGCGCCTCATGTTATGACTACGAGATAGGTGCGCGGATCATGCGGCATGCCTTTCATCCCGATCAGCCGTGTTCATTCATTAGATATGAGCTGTCACAAACGTTATCCTGATGGCCGTATTGCTCTAATGAGATGGGCACACGCGAAAAACAATTATAACCAGCCTGCACGCGCCGCTCGAAACCACAGGTCAAAACAACGCATTTTGCACCTGAAGCGCGAATCATTGTTTGTTGAAATAACACCGGCGGCGCACGACTAATTAGTAGCCAGGAGTCAGGATTTAATCAGGGACTCGTGTACGAACAACAATCCGGAAATGCGCATAAATCAAACCGCCCAGCCTGGGTGGCAAGTATGTACACCAACAAGCACATGATTGGTAATGAAAAAAAGAAAAGAGCACAAATTTCTGTAAATTCAGAAAGAGCATGAACATTCACACAGTTGCTTTGAGAAATGCCAAAGCCGAAATTTGACTAATTATGAGAATAAACAGCTCGAAGAGTTTGAGCAACAATTTTCTCGAAAAAAAAATTTATATGTATTCACCGTAGGAAGAGTAATATTATATATATAAACCGCCATATGGATTTGAGTAGATGTTATCTGATTACGACACCGTTTGGTTTATCTTCGGACCCTATCAATATGCAAATTCCTTTTATTTCGAATTAAATTTTCCATAGAATAATTTGAGACAAGCATTTATCGCAAAAGTGTCAATTAAACTAAAATTTAATTGCTTTTAATCTTCGGTTAGTGTGGACGAAAATTTTTCGCGCGCGTCAAACCACCCGTTGCGAAGAAACGATAATCAAATTAATTTTGCTTCAATGTGTGAGTGCTGTGGCCTCGCAATATACATGTATGGAAGCATTTAGCTGGATCCAAAGTCCGATATATTTTGTTTCGAGACAAAGATTTTGAAGACGCCTTTGCACTTATCTCATGCCGCAAAAAAAGGACGATTCGTTTGAAACACGCCGAAATTGAAAATGGTTGTTCAAAAATAGATTATTTGAAGCCGTCTTGTACCAGCGGGGGAGTTGGAGGGAGGTGTTGGCAAGAACTAGAATATAAGTGAAGAATGACACACAACGAAAAATATGATTACTATCAATAGATGAGAGAAAACGCATAAAAAGTTTCTTCCTTCGCAAGTCCATAAAAGTTGGCACTCAACGTTGGCGATAAACGTATTACGCAGTGTAAGATAATAAGAGTAATAATAATAATGGAAAGGTCATTTGAGAGGGTTCACCAAAAATGGCCCGCAGATTGACGATGATAACCAAAGACTATTCAAGTTTCACAACAAAAAAAAAACCATATTTGAAGCCTTGGAATTAGTAAGGCCAATGCAGCAGCCTCTTATGGTTCATTTTATTTTCAAATGTATAGCGAAAGTTTTATAGCTCTCGCACGGGAAGGTAATCATCATCGTGTTCAAGGTCTCCTCAAAACTATTTCGTTGTTCCGGATCATGCTTGTAAAATTTATGTTTGCAATGGAAGATATATGGCCATTTGTTTCGCTTGTGTCAAAGTAAAAATTTTTTTGTAGCACTGCAGAAAATATTGATGAATGGGCTACAGCAGGTTCCATGCGACTTATGGGATGCAAGAAAATCACAGAAGCAATTATTTTGAAAACAAATTTTCAATTATTTTTTGAAGAATTTCTATTTTGTTAGAGAAGTCGATTGTTCTTTTCAAAAACGTGAGCAATTTAAAAGGTAAAAGCTTTAAAGCGCAATCAACTCAAAAATAGATTATTGTTATATAGCATCAAAAATCATCAAATTGTGCTATACTTTATTTATCACTGAAATGAGTTGCCGGTTAAAATAATTGGACAAGATGAACCAAGAGGATTGAAGCAGTGGAATCGAACAAGGTAAATCCGTAAACTATCACGAATTAGTAATCGGATGATTTACGATGAAAATATTGACCACTCCGGCGAAAAGAACGCAGTCTCCCATGAAATTTGATGAAATATGAAACCCGACAAAGTTAGTGTAATCATTCCATAGTCAACGACCTATAGACAATCGGCAATTTTTTTTTCACCATTTGACCCTGTTAATATTGACCATTCAAAACATAATAAAATAATAAAATTGGGTGGACAAAATTCAAGCCGAATTAATGTATGAATATGCATAATTGCAAATTGCCGATTGCGAATCAGGTGGAATGGACCGGCTTCGCCGCGAAAAATGATGAAAAGTACGAAAAACGAGGCGTGACTAGTCGATTTAACGGTATTTTTCACTTCAATAGCCAATTTCGCCACTAAAAAAAATCGACGAGAGCATTTCATGTCCAACTAAGGATATCTACAAAGAAACTCCTATAATTACCCTTTTTGTTCTTTTCTTGTCGTTTCTTTTATGCCGCATTTTCGCTCCCGGTTACCGACGTGGCCATTAACCTTGACTGTCAACTACATAATGTTCTTCAGATGTCTAACTATGCGAATAATGTTGCAATTAGGCGTGTGGTACAGGTCAGGTTAACAGTAGAATTCAAGAGGAGAATTTTGAATTTTAAAAATTGTGGAAAATTCATGATGAAAATTGGAAGGAAAATTGAAAATATTGAATTGCTTTCATCAAAATTTTTAACAATACGCTAATAGATTTGTAAAGTGTATGGAATTTCAAAATTAGCGGGAATATTTTTTTTCTTAGAAAGGATAAATGCTTGATATAAAACTGATATTGAAAGAGTTGGTGTCTGAGACGACAGATGTCCAACAAACTTCTCCTCTCCTTTGCCCAAAAAAAGGCAAGCTTTTGGGCAAACTTTTCTCAAAACAGTGGACACATATGCATCATTTAAAGGGGAAAAAACTTCAAAATCATATCGCGCTCGTCAACGTTCATTTTTAAACGAGCGAGATTTCGAAAAATGCGAAATTGTTGAAATAAAGCTTGCGGCGATGCAGGACAAAAACCAGACAGCTAGCTATTCGTCATGAGCATGACGAGCAAAATGATAACCACGTCACAATTGATATTTTTTGATGGCGAGCTTTAGCATTTTGAAAACATATAAAAAATATTGGATGTAAAAATTTACCTTACTCAATTGCTGGTTTTTGGGGTATTGCCAAATAAAAGCAAACGGGGCGGATTTAAGGGGTGTTGAAGAAGAAAAAGCAATTGTTGTTCCCGTCATAGTAGAGTAGGGGGGTATAATTATAGGGTATCGTTTTAGAGTGACCCCAGCCACTGATTCTCTCCTTTGAATTTTGTGATGCGTGAAAATCGATTCAAACTTCATTATATAATATTCATAAGGGGTTCTGGTTTACATGTAATACTCGCATTTTGGTTGAAAAAATAAACATTCGTATTATTTAAATTATTTTGTTGACAACTATTCCACCGATTTTATTGAGCTTGACGATGAGCAGTTCTCAAGGACATCATCAATCGATATACTTCCAGAGGTCACCGACCGCATTTCATCATCTTCACTGTCTTTGTCCTCGTCGCTTGCAGCGATATTCGCATTACCTGCTTCTTCTTCCCTCTGTCCCTCCTCTTCTTGTTCTTCATCGACGAGAATTGTATCAGTTGTCATAATACTGGCAAGAGCTGTTAATGTTTCCTTGGGCGTTTGATTATTCTCCAATGGTGCTCTACAATAAAAAAAATAAATATTATACGTATATAGTTACAATATAGGTATAGTATTTGTGGATCATTCAATTCGAAATTCTATTTAAACGTTGGCAGTTAGGTACCCTATTATCGATAATCTAATCTTCGCAGAGTGCGTGCCTTTTTTGAGATTTTAATTTATAATAATAAAAAATAACATATAATTTTATTTTTTTTCTTCTTCATTATATTGTATCCTGATGTTTTTAAAGGTTAACTATGTACCACAAAAAATATTAATTATAGGTATATAAAGAATTATCCTAGTTTTCTTGAAAAACCATTTAACCCCCTCTGCTGAAATGCATTAAATTAGGAGAGGGAAAACATACATACAAAGACTACACATATGTTTCTAACAATTCCCGAAAATTTTGCAATTTCTTATTTCTACTCACATGGTTGCTTCTTCCGCAGCTTTGACCGCGTCGGATAACTTGTGAAACACGCGATTCTCATCGACAACATCGTAAAAATCGGTGGCGCGAAACAATCTTTGCAAGTCGGATTTCTGGACGACGAAAAACGTCAAAATTCCCGCCGCTGTCAAATCGGTGTAAACGGTTTTCAGCGTTGTTAGCCCCAAATAGTCGACATACGGGAATCCGCTGCAATCGATGACAAAACGGCACCGATTTTCTGGCTTGGTGTCCTTGCGGTACCGACGACGAGCGGCGCGGACTTTCTAAAAAAAATTGGAATTTTGAATATTTCTAATATAAAATGGTCTGATTTACAGAATCTAATAGGTCTCCTCCTTTGTCAGAATTCATTTGCTCAATCGTAACAAACGATTCCAATCGGCAACGCTCCCATTTTTTAACACATTGCCAAACTGACTAAAATTCCACTTTTAAAGTTCAATTTTCTCAGCAATTTCTAACCAGTGTAAATCTGTCGACGCTGGTAAAAATCAGAGGAGCATCCATTCGAAAAATGCACACATTTCCTTGAATCCTCTCCAAATCTTTCTTTTTAGTTTCTTTATAGCTTTCAGTCTCATGATCATGTGATAGAAAATGCCACTTTGGTCTGAAGACTCGTTTTTTGAGTTGAGAACAATTTTAAGCGTATTATGTTTTACCTTTGGGTACGGATAATTGTTGTAAGAACTGCAAACCCAATAGCTAATAGGAGACCTTCTCCCATGTCATAGCACACTGTTAATATAAGACTCATCAACCAAATTGCCTGGAATCTCGTTATTCGAACGAATCATTTTCATTTTTAAGACTTACGAAATCAATTTTAAACACCGGCCAGAGCTGTTTCAATTCCCCAATTTTGTCCAACATTCCTTTCTGAGAAAATATAATCATTGTTGATAAGATACATTGGGGAAGGTATTCCAGAGCAGGTCCAATGTAAAGAATAACAGATAAAAGAGCAAGTGATGAAAATAGGCAAGTTAGCTGTAATTTTGAGTTGGGCATTTTAAAGTTTTTAGAAATTTTGAAAAAAAATTACTTGGGTTGACCCTCCCACTGCTGCTCCAACAACACTTCGCGCAAATCCTGAGGTTACTGGAAACACTGGGAAGAATGATGATAGAACTCCAACGAATCCAAGGGCATAAAGCTCCTTCAAAATATTATAGTTAACCACAGATAGACATTGAAAACGTTAAACTTGGCCGTGATTTATTTTATACTTATAACGCTTTTCGACGACCTTTGCTACCGTTATATGAATGGCGACAGCGGTGATCGCAATAGCCGCTGAATTCAGGCCAATGTGGCGAATTAGATCAAATCGTGGTAGAGATGGCGGCGGGAATCTGAAATTGATTTTTAAACCAGCAAACAATCATATCCAATAATCAAATAAAAGGAGCAGAGTCTATTAAACATGAACACTTTTTTCAGTGTCTCCTTTCTTCTTATTGACATCTTTACGAGAGATTAATTTTTTTCATTAATACATTTCGACTCACTCGGTAGGAATATTTCCAACCACTTTCACATTATGCCGTCTGGATAGTTCTGCATAGTTGGTCGCGGTGATTCCAATAACAACAAGAACGAATTCGAATGGGACGGGGTAGTTGAATGCCGAACTTAGCCATGGTCCAAGGTATTCTTTGCCAAATATCAAAAATGACAATGATGAACAGGAAATTGCCAATGTTGGATAGTGGATGTTTGACAAATTTTCGATCAAATCCCATATTCTCTCAAATGGCAATTATTATTCAAAATATTCTGCCAACGATATCATACATAGTAAAGGTAACCCGGTCCTGATCTTTTTGGTAATTTCACTCCAAGCATATCGCCAATTTGTGCGAAGAAGACGTGAATACCACCGCCAACGACGAAGCCACTCATAACTTGTTCCGAGAAAAGTGATGTGAGATATTGAAGTCGAAATATACCCATTAGAAGCTGAAAGTCGGATAATTCGTGCGATTAATATTGAACGATCGATACCTGCATAATTCCAGCAAAAAATATAATTGTGGTTGCGACATGAATTTGTTTCACCGGGGTTACGCCTTCAGTCCACATTTCTGTAGTGACTTCTTCCATGAATGTGGTTTCATTTCCGAGGATTCTGAACGATAAATAACAAATTAAATGTCTAAAAAAAATTAAAAGCAGGAAATATGTACTATAGTTCGTCAAAAAGCATAAATTCTTAAAGTCTTATCTATTTTTTATTATTTTTGTTTATTTGTCTAAAAAATCACGTATATTTAAAAACTGACTGCATAAGGGTTGTATTCGTGATAATCGTATCATTGTCCATATCCGATATCAGCTCATCTAAGGTATGATTGACGTAAACCGTTGCATTATAACTCGTAGCCGTTCTCATCATTACTTTCTCGATTGCTCCGTGAGTCATTAGAGACAACACGGCGAATCCACCTGGAATCAATTTTTTTTTCAGAATAATGGCTGTATGTGTTTTTAAACCAAGTGCATTATGCTTTGAAGTGCCGAAGAAAATATAAAGAAATGATGGAAAAATGGCGGTGTACAAACCATATACAGGAGGTACACCGGTAATTCCAGCCAACGCAATCCCTGAAAAAAAAAGATTTTTGGCAAAAATCCTAATGATCAAATAATTGAGCGTTTGAACATTTAAAAAAATTGTACCTTGTGGCACCGAGAAAACCGCCATTGTCAATCCGCCGGATAAATCACCAAAAAATGAATGGGACCAATCATAATTGGGAAGCCATGTGATAACCGGAAAGAATGAGAGAAACGACTGGAAACATTTGCGAGGTGTGCAGGAGTACCGAACTTTCTCGACTTTCTCACGAAGGACCGCATTCAGTGGCGGACGGTCTGAGAATAACTGAAACAAATTTGGTATAGAATATTTTAATTGAGAATCAATGTTTTTTGCTAGCTGTTACAGTACCTGTCTCAGAGCCATCTTGGTTGAGCTAATGATAGTTAAGAATTGAATGTTTACCCGACATTGTAATTCCTTTCCTCCCCCCTACGATAATCCTTGCGATTTGTTCAATGTAGTGTCTGCCACTGTTCGCCTCATTTATGTTAACAGTTTATGTACATTTGAAGTTCAAAATGACGTGATTCATAGAGTGATCTTTGCAAATTTTGATTTTGTAAGCTCTTCCCGTTTTAAACATTTTGATGAAATGTTTGAAAGCTTTACGAGACGTTTGAACTATTAATTAAATTGACAACGAACTTTTTGGGATATTTGGTTCAGGAATTATTATTACCTTTTTCTTGTAATTTAAATTTAAAATTGGATTTTTTTAATGAATAAAAAATTTCAATTTTTAACTCTCCCTATATAACAAATATTGTAAAGTAATTTCAAGTTCCAAATATCATGAATTTATAAAACCAAAAATCAATTAATTTTCATTACGTAATATGCATTAATGAAAAATGAAGCCTTATAAATTATAATTAATTAACCAAAGATTGAGAATAGCAAACTCCCAATTATAAATGATTATGTTCATGAATGTTTTTTAAAGATTTTTATTGGAGCCATTTAGTAGATCCTTTTTGTAAAAAATTGTTTGAAATTTAATTAAATAAATTTATAATTCAAATTTTTTTAAAAAGCAATTTGACCTTTTTATAAATAAACGGGCATATTGTTTAATATTTTTATTAAACAATAAATGTTGCGCAATTTATTACCAGGTATACAAACCATACCTTTGGCATACGAATTCAGGAATACTCGACGTATGAATATTTGGCACGCTTCTGAATTAGCAAATGCGAGTTTGTACTGTAGATTGAGCAGCGAGAATTGTTGGGTAGACTGTTGGGTGAATGGAGGACAACTATTTCTCACTTTTCCTTTTCCCAAACCAACCCGAAAATTCATCAATAGTGATGCTCCGACGGGGCGAGCACCGCCAGCAACAGCAGCAGCAGCAGCAGTATCGTCTCGCGATCGGCATGCACAAGATGACCATTCTCGAGGCGCTTTCGTTGCGGCGTCTCGTCGTTCCGCGAACAGCCTGCTTCATTGCTAAGTCATCTTGCAAACAAATTTTGCGGTCCGGTAGCCGTCGCCGTGCTGCACTTCTTGGTTTTTTTTCCGAGTTTTGCGCGTCTCTCATCATCACCGCACTGCAACAGTCATTCCTGTCGATCAACACGCGTGGGTGTCCTTCTTCATCTTCTTCTCCTCCTCCGCTTCTCGGCTCAAACACAAACCGGCTCCGATGTGTTAGAAGAAGCTGATAGCGGCCACCGCCAATCATTGACCTAATTCAAAGCAGAACATCAAATTTCTCCTTTGATAAATACACAATGAGTCACGATAGCAAACGGCTTCAAAATTTTTATTTTCTAGTAAAGCTGGAATTAAAGCGTATTATCTTAAATATATAAGCCATTGACGTAGTATTGGTTACAATAATTAAGAAAACCAAAAATCGCTTATGAAAATCTTTGTCTCGACGGATTTTGTTTAATTTGCTGGAAACTACCCTAATCCCCGCAGAGATCATTGGTACTACATCAGGTGTTCAGTGAGTTCTTTGCACATTGTTTGATTATTTTTTGTACATTGTTAAATCAACTGTGCAAATTTAACTTTGCAAACCATTTCTTCAATGATTTTTGATATGAACATTTCAGAATTCAACGAGCATTACATATATACGTGATTTCTCAAATGAACAAAGTAATAATTGTAGCGTTCATTGAAATACATAAATAGATTCTGATGTCTACTGAGAACAGCAGAAAATGGTCATTATGAGTCCGAAGATCAAATGTTGAAAAAAGAGTCAAGCAAATAATGCCACGATGCAAAAAATATAAATTGGTCCACTGTTTAATTTTCGACCGCTGTTTAAATGGACTCGGTGAACCTAATTAATTTGGTCTAGACTATTTTTTATCGAATCAAAGTTGATCTCTTGAAACAGAAACTCGACTTTTCATCAGACGTTCTATGAGTGTAAATAGAATCATTCAAAAAGAAGAATGTTTTAGACTGAATGTAACATCCAACCTAATAAATTGACTAGCATTTCCCTTTACTGTAATGTCCTTCAAACATCAGGGGTTTAGAAATGTGGTGATGTTCCCATTTTCTGGAATTTTCCAATATTTTTAAAGTAACAAATTTATTGAGAATTTAAACAAATAGAAAATTAAAATAAACAAACAATTATAATAAACTGTAAATATTTTAATAGATATTTTTCCAAAATTTTTGATACCAAGTTCATGCTATGCTGTTGGTGCTGAACTTTTCGCACAAGACATTCGGCAATCAATTTTCAGAATCCAATTTCAGAATTTCCCTCAAGGCTCAAAAATTTCGTTTTTGCCTTGCGAAAATCGTCCGGTATTTGACACCAGATTCGTTTATTTATTTGTTCGATCGCCTCATTTATTTATTTATTTGTTGTTCGCTCCTTGCCCCGGTTTTTTTCCCTTCCTTTTTCACTTTCCAGATCAACTTCCATTTCATTGTAATCCAAAACGTAAACGTTTGAATTGTGACGTGACGTGAAAAAAACGCGTGAATTAGTTAATATACAATCAAATATTCATTTTGTATTTGCGAACGGTTCCTACAGAATTTTTAATAACGTAAAAAAGCACAAATATTTACGCAGTTATTGTTATTATGATTAGGCGTTCAATTTGGGGAATGCCCTGATGGTTAAACAAACGAATACGAAAAACAATAGTACAAATTGAGCCTGGAACATCTGACCAAATATGGATATGAAAATCGTACAAAAAATCCCTTGTTTTTCGTAATAGCTTGCTTCAATATGCAATAAGCTGGATATTTTTGAAAACTCTGCGTCAATCCGAGCTTTTCCAAGTCATAATAAATCTGGATTAGCTGCTAGGAATGTGAAAAATAATCTAGTATAAGTTGTTCGATATTTTTTCGTAAATATTGAGGTTACTGTATAGACCAATGTCGCCATTATACCCACGTTTAATGTAATGGGTGTCGTGAGAATGTGGGAGAAAATTTCTGCATTTTCTGACAATGCGTATAATAGACAATAGGATGTAGATGTATTCCGTCCACGCGAATTCTTCTCTAAAGTATAATGACATTTTCTTTGTTTCAATTCTTCCATGCTTGAAACTCAACTTTTGAGACCAATAATCGAAGAAAAGACAAAACATGAACAAATATGTGCTAACGAGTCGACATTTCCTTAAAGGTCAAAGTGGATCATTGCGAATCTGAGAGTCCCTTGCTTCATTAAAAGTTATTTCATGTGGGTGCAAGCAGAATATTGCAGGTGTCGAAAATCACGCAATTTTCCCGGAACACACAATCAAATCACCTATTCGGCATTTTCATTTTAACAGCGGAAACGCACGCGTCAATAATTGAGGGTGTTGTAAGGAATGACTCAGCGATGTCGGCGAGTGAGTCATACTGAAGCATTTTTACCATAGATGGAGGTAGTGTTTTTCTGAACTGGCACGCACATTTTTTCACTCATTCAATGAAAAGATGCAACGAATCGCAAATTCTGCTCATTTTTTTCGTGCTTGCAGGTGAGCATTTTCCTCGAAAACTGCAAAAGATTGGTTTTTTGGTTGGTTCTTTGGTTGGACTTCCGGCGAAACATACCTCAATAGGCGCGCACTTTTTTTTGGAATTACTGAACGAGATATGCGTAGTTATATTGCCATAGATGAATCGAATTACCACGCAAAAAAGTGGCCCCCGAAATTTGATATATTCCCAAAAAAATGGAAGGAAGGAAGGAAAAGCTTCGAAGATCCCTACAAAAAATGAAACTCGTCCGGTACTTTTTAGTGAAAAAAATTTTGATTTTAAAATGATATCTTAGAAATTGTTGCTCTTTTTTTCAAAATTTGCTTTTTTTATGAAACTAAATACCTCGATGCCTCGTGGAAATATTTCACCTGTCAACTCTTTTTTGTATTCATCATACAATAATGATGTTGCCAAACAATCTCGAAATGATCACAAGACTTTAGTGATCAACAAAACATTGTAACATTCGCGTTTCCGAAGATATTCCCTTTATCGGGATGGATAGCAGTCGGATTTGCGGAGGTTGAATGCAAATATTTAATTAATTCAGGTCTTCAAGCTTTCTAATAAGTCGGGTCTTCAATCAGAATTCCATTATGAATTCCATTCTCCATTCGGCTTCATCTGAATGCCAAATCCCTCATCAAAATTATTATTGAAGGCATGAGTAACATAGTTCAAACGCAATGCCCTTTTTGCGGTAGTGCAAAGTACTTGGCGCTCAAAATCCAAATTTGCTCTATTGAATTCCCATGCTCACGGTTGGCACTGAACAAAAACAGCCTCCCACGCATTATATTTCGATTGTCAAGGTCTTTTTTTTTCATACCTCATTAGTAGACGCGAAAAATGTTATTCGAGACGAGAAAAATGTTGGTCTCTGATAATCAAGCACATAAACAATTCTTCGATAAGGATGTGAAACACAAATTCCATATTCAAACGCACGACATCAAATGTTTGTCGGCTCATTTACAAGTCAAAGACGGAGCAAAATCTTATAATCCGGATAAACCAGACACGCACATTCGCCTTGGCTTATTGTAAGAAAAAGATGCCGAAATCCCACTAGCCGACCTCGTTTCGATGGAGTTCCGCAGAAGTGCACGTTCCCCAGATGTTAATTGAATATTCATGTTGATCTCCAGATGTCTCGAACGGCGAATGATTAATGCCAATTCATCAAACCGTTTCTATTTTCGGTTTCATATTTCACGATTAATAAAAGCTTAATAAAAACGGATTGGAACGCAGGAAAAAAAATATTTTTGATGATTGAAAAAATCCTGGCATTGAAGGATAAATTAACTGAATTCAAAAGATGCCAGCAAATTCTCCACGCTTGCAAAAACTTGAAGCTCACAGCTGCCGTTTGCTCTTTCACCAAACTCGATTATGCTAATTCAATTTGCAAACTTCCTGCATCACTTTCGGAACATTTCGAAAATCGACGAACCGTTTCGAATTGTTTCGTCGCGGTTCTTTTTTTTCGATAGATAGCAAGTCGCAGCACACCCAGTCTCGACAATTTACACAGTGTGCGAGGAAACATCGAGAAAGAAGAAGCAGCGCGATCAAACAAAAAATACGTTTTGGGTTGGGAAAAAGCTTCTGTTTTCGTATATGGCACGGTTTTTTTTTAATCCCACGGTTTTTGAACTGACTTTGAAAAATAAGAATAATTTTGAAGAAGCTCAATTATCTATAAAATTCGAATGAGATTTAAAGAGTGCGTGATCAAAAATAGAACAACTAAAAAAATGGAATGATCACTTTGTTGAATTTCTAGAACATCATCAACCCCAATCCCACACATTATTACAACGGCGGCAACAAAAAAAATACATATGCGGGACGCGATTTTCGTTTTGTTTCGAAATTGCGCCTCTCCCCCAGGTACGCGGATTACATCATCATTCTGCAACCGAGCCCATGGGAGAGAAGAGAGCGGGTGAAGCGAACCCCCCCCCTCCGACATTGACGATGAAAAAAAATATGTGTGTCGATCGAGAAAATACTATCGGACGGTGACGAAACGCCGACATTTGTCGCCGACACCCAAAATCATTCATTTGAACAACACACATCTATTCGCGATGGGTGGTGAACTTGGCGACGATCATCGAAAAAAATTAAGTGGGAGAGAGAAAGAGATGGATAT